GGTTTCCATGGAAACCCCGAGCCGGGATTTAACACAAGGAATTCGTGAGTCTGAATGTCTGCAGTTCCTAAGAAACAGGGGGAATCCTGCCCAGGGAATCCTGCTCACATGGGCACCACAGGCTTTCCCTCCAGGGCAGCAGCACTTGGTTCCAGCCCCCCAAAAATAAGCTGTGGCTGCCCCTGGATCCCTGGAAGTGTCCAAGGCCAGGCTGGACAGGGCTTGGAGCAACCTGGGCTAGTGGAAGGTGTCCCTGCCCATGGCAGGGGGTGGGATGAGATGAGCTTTAAGGTCCCTTCCAATCCAAACCATTCCCTCCTGGGGACAGCAGGAGCTGCTTCTGCCACCCTCAATCCCACCAGGATCCCACAGAACCTCTGGAACAGACCTGGCTCAGGCACCACCTGCCTCTGCTCCCTGGGGGGACACAAAACCACTGCAGAGTCAATCACATATACAAACAAGATTGCTTTTTTTTTTTTCTTTCCAATGCCTTAAAAAGGTGGAGAAATAAAAACAAACCCATCCTGGAGAACCCTCTGTGCAGCAGAACCCCCCCAGGTACATCATGGCAGGGAAACCCAGGAGTGGGAAAGCTTTTCCAAGGAGGCTTCTCTTCCAGTACAGATGATGGTAAGAGGAAAATAAATTATCTTTCTTTGCCATAAAAGTGTTTTACACCATTCAATTAAAGCCTGGGAGATAAAATAATTTCTCCTGGGTGTTTTCCTTCGCTCCCCTCTCTCTGTCAGAAGTCATTTCAATATTTTACTATCTCAGTAATAAAAAATACATAACTGCTTGCCAGGCAATATTAATTCAGCAGCTTCCTCGCTCCACGAAGGAATTCTGAGCAGGCTTTTGCTTCTCTTGACTGCAGATCAAACCTTGTAACCGAGTGCCAAGGGGCTGTGGCAGGAGGAGGGCACTGCCCTGGGGTTGGCACAGAGGCTCTGGGATGTCAGGGAGAGCCAAGCCAGGTTTCTGTCTCCAAAGTTAAGCCCACACATCCATTGCTTCCCCCAAAAACACGTGACAAAAAGTGAAAAAAACCCCACTTTTCTGAGTGTTAATTAATCTGTGCTCCCCAAGCATATCCTGTCAAACAATATGTCCTTAAGTGGTCCCAAGTGGAAGGATGGATCTTCCCCGTGGTGTTAAGAGCAGCAATAAATCTGCAATCACTTTCTTACACTGGCCTGCTAAAAAATGCATTAAAGCCCTCCCAGCAAAAAGTCAGGTTTTATAAAACAATCACTTGAGTGTGACATCAGGAGGAGTGGGAGGCAAAGGAGGTGTCACGGGGTGCTTGTCAGGCCCCACGTGTTCCCTGGTGACACTGGTGCTCTGTCCTTAATTTTTGGTGTTAGGGGAGAGAAATTCCTTCAGTTCATGAGAGCAAGGGGTAAACAGCAGGGAAAAGACATCCAGGGAATTGTAACACACCGGGCAGACTTGCCTGTGTTTCAGGAATGTGGGTGGATATAAATATATTTATGGACACATATGAATAAAAGGGCTGGAGCCAGGCTGGGAGAGCTGGGGGGGTTCACCTGGAGAAGACAAGGCTCCAGGGAGACCTTGGAGCCCCTTCCAGAGTCCAAAGGGGCTCCAGGAGAGCTGGAGAGGGATCGGGGACAAGGGGTGGAGGGATAGGTTGAGGGGGAATGGCTTCCCAATGCCAGAGGGCAGGATATTGGGATATTGGGAAGGAATTCTTGGCTGTGAGGGGGGGGGGGAATCTCTGGAAGTGTCCAAGGCCAGGTTGGAGCAGCCTGGGACAGTGGGAGGTGTTCACCAGAGCTGGGACTGGCTGGGCTTTAAGGTCCCTTCCAACCCAAAGCATTCCATGGATGTGTTTTCAACCAAACTCCTTTCTGCCACATGGAATGGTATTTTCCCTCCTTGTGGAAGAAGAAAGGGATAAAAATCCCCTCAGGAAACAACCATCCCCGTCATGTCAGGCAAAGGGCTCATGAATAAAGGATGAGCAAAGAGGGCAGGAGATGCAGGAGCAGCAGCAGAGCTCTGAGCATCATTAAACTGAGCTCCAAAATTCCTCAGGAGGCCTTTGCTGAGGTTGAGCTGGTGAATATTTTATAAGGGGAGCTCCCATTCTCTCTGTGCTTCTCCTTGTGTCCTTGCTTTGGAGAGGGAATCACTCCTAATTTTAGCCTCATGTGTGGGAAGCAAGGGATGTTCCCTGGACAAGTGGGAATAGCATTTGGATCCCAGCTGACAGCAAGGGCTGTGCAACGACCTGGAAACCTGCTGTCCTGGGAATTTGGGATGGTCCCACTTCCTGGAGCCAGGGGCAAGGATGGAGATGTCCCCAACAGCTGGAACAACCCTGTGCCCTTTTTTTGTGCCCTCAACTCCTCCCCTGGGCCTCTCTGTGCTGTCCCAGCCCTTGAGCACAGGTTGGGAAAAGCAGAACCAGAGGAAGCAGCTCCTGAGGAATCAAACTCCCAGGGATCCAGGGGCAGCCACAGCTTCTCTGGGCAACCTGGGCCGGGTGGCTTTTAGGCTTGGCAGGTGTTTTACTTTCATTTTTTCCTCTCTTGTTTTTCCTCACCCAGACTCCCAGCCTGGGGATTCCACAGAGCTGGAATCCCTGGCCCTCCTGGTTTCTGTCCCCCTGCCAGGGCAGGTGCTTCCCCTCAGCAACACAATCTAAAAGCAGCAACTGCACAGAGCACACGACACTTCAGTGCATTGAAAGTATTTTTCTCTCTCTCTCTCTATTTTTTTTTGGTTTTGTTTCAAAATTACTAAGAAAAGAAAGAATTGGGCCAAGAAACTGAGCCCATCTGCCTTTTGTTGGGGGATTTTTGCAGCAGTTCTGTCCCTCCCGAAGCCTGGCTGATCCAAAGGACTCCCTGACTGAGATGGAACATTTCCCTGGGCTCAGAAAATCCTCACTGATCTTTTAACAGGATTTCTCAGGGGTTTGACTATAATGTGGATTAAATAAAATTAAAAAACCCCAACCACCCAGCTTGTCCTCTCAGCTCTGGGCACTCACTCGGTGTAGGGGAGGAGATTTGGGACTGGGAGGTTGCAAAGCAGGGGAATGGTTTGATCTGCAAATTCCCAGTGAATCCCTGGGAAGGCCTGGAAGTTCCAGCCCAGCTTTCTGTGCTGGCAGCCAAACCCTTCCCACTGCCACACACACAGGTTGTCTTTGTGCCCTGACCGTGAGTTATAATCCCAGAATTCCAAGATGGGTTGGGTTGGAAGGGACCTTAAAGCTCATCTCATTCCACCCCTTCCCACTATCCCAGGTTGCTCCAGCCTGGCCTTGAACACTTCCCAGGATGGGGAATCCACAACTTCTCTGGGCAGCCTGTTCCATTCAGTGCCAAGAATTGGTGGAAGGTGGATTTTTCCCTCCATCCTCCTCCGGTCTGCCCGGGATTTCCCTCCCTGCCCCACATGAGCAGACTGACACCTTCCAGACCCTGCAGCAAACGGGGCCTCTTTCCTGAGCCCAGAACTGTGGGGTGGGGTTGGATTTTGGGGTGGGGTTGGATTTTGGGGTGGGAGCAGCCACAACACCCTGGATGGAGCGGGTCCTGTGGGATCCACGCACTGGAGAGGGGCACAGACACCCTCCAAGGGACCCTCCTGCCCTGCCACCTCCCTGGGCACTCCCTGTGCCCACCCAGGCAGGGCTGTGGGGGCTTTTCCCCTCTGCCAGCCCCGGGGCAGCAGTGTCCCGATGTGGAGCTGGTCCCAAATCCAGCAGCACAGTCTGATCCCTGGGATGTCAAAAATCCCCCCTCCCGCTCCAAACCCCACTCCAGACCCCTCCCCTGCACCGCCTTTCCCCCAAACCGCAGCACGACCGACTTCTGCCTTTCCCTTCTGAGCGTTCCCAGCTAAAAACACCCCAAATCCCCCCGAGCCCAAATCCCCGTGTTACAACCACAAATTCGGGCCGCATGAAAAATTCATCCCCGCGGCGCAGCCACGCTCATTAATCCCCCCCGGCTCCCCCTGTTCTCCTCTCCCTCCTCGGGGAGAGAGGCAGAAAGGAGGGCTGGGACTTCTCCAGGCATCTCCTGCTCCTTTCCCTGCTCCAGACAACTAACGAGCCGTGCGTGGGCGAGTGTCTCCTGCACCGGGCGAGCGCTGCTCTCACATGGACCGGCCGTGGGATGCGGCTCCCGGGGGGCCACCGGCCCCTCGCTGCTCCCCGGCAAGTTAAATGAACGCTTTATCCCCTTTTTTAGGATGGAACAGCGGTGCAGAAGGGCGGGGGGATGTTTTCCCACCTATGGGGTAGGGGGGACGGGGACTGCAGGGAAGGATTGGGAACAGGGGCTGGGGGAAGGATATGGGGCCAGGAGTTGGGGCCAGGGGCTGGGGGACATGGTCTGGGGCTCTGACAGGGTCTGGGGCACAGGGACAGGGGACAGGGGGAAGGGACAGGGTCTGTGGGCTGGGGACAAGGGATGGGGACGGGAGTTGGGGACAGGAACAGGGAACAGGGGCTGCAGCCAGAGGTTGGGGACAGGAGCTGAGGGAGAGGGACAGAGGCTGGGGACAAGGGTTGGGGATGGCCTGAGACAGGGCAGGCAAGGACTGGGGACAGGGGACAAGATCTGGGGACAGGGGATGAGATCTGGGGATAGGGGGTTGTCTTTTCCCCTCCCCTGAGCCGACAGAGGGGTGGGTTGGTGGGGTTTGAGCTTTAACCCTCCTCCACCCTTTGCAGGTTGTTACCAAGGTGCTGCCAGTCCTCTGTCCCCCCCCTTTCCACAAAAACCCTCTATCCCCTCCTCCACAAAAGTCCTCTATCCCCACTTTCCACCCTAAAAGACCCCTCCCTATAAACCTTTGGAAGTCCTGGAGCACTGGTGGCACCCAGGGGACCTTCCCATCCCATCCCTGGAGGAGGTGCTGCCACTGTGCTAATGCTGAATTTATCAGGGACAGGAGGAGAGGGAAAGCTTTATCCCACTAAAACCAGGGATACCTGGTCCCACAAAAGAGAAGGAAAGGCCAAACCACCCCTGGCTGTTCATTTCCACTCATCCTTAAATCAATCATGGTCCCAAATTTCTGGAGACAAGAGGAGAGTTGCTCAGGGCTGGTTGGTGTTTTTCTGTCATCGTGATTTTTGGGTTGATTTTCAAGCTGGAAATGGAGCCTCTGCAAAACACAACATTTCCACGAGAATATTTGGACTTTTCCATCACTTTCTCGAGGTTCCATCGGGAAAAAAAATCAAAATAAGGCAAATCCCACGGGGTAAAATTAAAGCTGGATCAAACCCAGGGTTTTTCTCTTTAGCCCAACACTCATTTACTGCTTGGAAACCTCCTGGATATCTTAATTTTCCAGTCTCCAGGACTGTGGTTCACACATTCTGCCCAGCCTTAGGGATTTACCTGGGTTTGAACTTCTCTGGACTCACTCACATTCCCTCCAACGAGGATCTCTATTAAAAACCAGAGTGAAAATTTCATACTCCATTACCCGAGAAACAGGACACCCAGTAAAAAAAAAAACCAACCATTTACACAAACCTCCAGGGAGTGCTTGGGCTAAAAATAAACTCGTTTCCTGCAGTTAAAGCTCAGACCTGCTGCCAGAAACCCCAACCCTGCTGCCAGCCAGGTATCAACCCCCGAGCACAAACAGCACCTCTGGCTCCTGGAAGCTCTTTGGGAGTGGGGTGGATCCCAATGGATCACATAAACCACCTGGAAAAACTACAGTAAAAACATCAGTGGCAAAGCCAGAGCAGGCTGGATTACCCAGCAGGAATCCATGGATTTCCATGGAGTCCTGTTGATTGGGAGCAGCTGATCTACGTTTTTCTTTCTTTTCTTCTTAATTTTCTTTAATTTCAGGCAGTGGGAAAGCAGCAGGTGGGTTTGAACTCCAGCCCCTGGAGTTCAGGGCTCTGCTCACCATCATTTCTGTGGAATCCTATTGACTGGGAGCAGGTGATCCCTTTAAAAATCCCCAAATTCCTTTAATTTCAGGCAGTGGGAGAGCAGCAGGTGTGTCTGAACTCCAACACGTTCTGCCCACCACCAAGAGCTGGGGGGAGGTGAGATATCAGGAGAGGGATGGATTTCTCCCTCATGGAATCTCCCTTTCCTTGTGCCTCTGGTGGGCTTGTCATGGGAGCAAAACCACCTTTTCCCAAAATCAGCTGTTGTTTAGCTGGAAAATGTGAACATGCCACATTTATGAGGGATGGTACCAGGAGCCTTCCCTCAGATCCCAGCTCATCCCAAGCACAGCTGATCCTTTTCATTTTCATTTTCCTTTCCTTCACTTGGTTGTAGTCCTATCCCATAAAAGCCATCAAGTTCTCTTGGCATGATTTATTCACCTTTTCCTGCTGGGTCTAATCTTTAACCCTCCTTGTGTGTATTTAAGGCTCTGGGGTTTCAGTGCTGGAGTCTCCTTGTCCCTCATTCCAGGCTTGGCTCAGCTCCTTGAGGGAGTCACATCCATATCCCTTCTTGGCACCCACTCCCAGCATCTTCTGTCATGAGCAGTTGTGCCTCCCTGCAGGTAGGAAAGGTGTTTCTTTACCAATTCCCAAGAGTCAGGCAGGTCTGGCCCTGGATGACCTTCCTTGTGTTGCTCCAGCCTGGAATTCCCTGTGAAATCCAGATCCCAGCACTCACACAGCCTCCAGTGCAGGTCAATCCCTCCCTCATACAGTGAAGCCACATCACAAATGAGACACTGGAGGAGCAATTTTGCCTTTTTTTTTTTTTTTAACCTCAGCTTGTTTATAAACTGTCCTTTGCTTTGATCTTGGAGAGAGGGATTTCTCTCCTGGTTTTCCGAGGAAGATCCACGTGCATTTAACAGGATGGGAGGGGGGTGTTTAGCACTGAGAAAGCCAAATAAATCATGAAAGCAAAATAAAGAGGCCAGAGCCTGGTGTTTGAAGGATTCCCTTGGAGGCATCTTCACCTCACACTTGGCAGGCAGGGAGAAGAATCTTCATTTTTCTCTCCTTGGGATTAATTACACGGCAGGGAAAATTCAGGGAGTGGGATGTCAGAACTTCCAGCTTCAGCATGACTTGCCCAGCTCAACAGAACCCAGCTGAAGAGCAGCACGTGTTCTACAGCATGTTCAGAGCGTGGCAGCAAGGCCAGTAATGGGCACGTTCCCCCCAGGGCTGGCATGTCCTGGGCTCCCTCCCTGCAGGGGAACCTGCCCTGGCACTCCCTGTCTCATCCACTTTATCCCAACAACGTGAGAGCTGGGACTGCAGCACAGTTGCAGATGGAGGTTTTCTCCCCCAGGCATGAAACAATTCCAGGAGGGGGGATGGAGTGGCTCTGCCAATCCTGCTGCCTCCCCAGCACTTGTTTTCTCACCAGCCCAAAGGCACGGGGCTGGATTTGCTGTGTCCCTTGGGAATTTCCCAGGTCTCCTGTACGCAGGACCAGTGGCAGCTGCACAAACATGGGGAGCTTGAAGAACCCCAGAATCACAAAATCCCAGACTCCCAGAATCACTTGGGTTGGAAAAGCCCTCCCAGCCCATGGATCCCCCCTGTGCCCCATCCCCACCTTGTCCCCCAGCCCAGAGCACTGAGTGCCATGGCCAGGCCTTCCTGGGACACCTCCAGGGATGGGGACTCCAAACCTCCCTGGGCAGCCCCTGCCAGGGCCTGACCACTCTTTCCATGATGAAATTCCTCCTGATGTCCAACCTGACCCTCCCCTGGCACAGCTGGAGGCTGTTCTCTCTCCTCCTGTCCCTTGTTCCCTGGGAGCAGAGTCCGACCCCCCCCCAGCTCCCCCCTCCTGTCAGGGAGCTGCTGAGCCAGAAGGTCCCCCCTGAGCCTCCTTTTCTCCAGGCTGAGCCCCCCCAGCTCCCTCAGCTGCCCCTCCCAGGATGTTTCACACCTTTCCTTGCTGCTCCCTTCCCAAGCTGCAGCTCCTTGCTCTGCCCTTGCCAGTGCTGGTGGCTTTTCTCACGTTCCCCCCACTGGAAGGGCTTCACATCTTCCAGCCTGTTTCTCTCCCACTGCTGTTTTATCAGTTGGTTTCCCAAGGAAACCCGGCTTACGTGGTTATCCTGTGTTTGTGCACGAGAAAGAAGGAGAATTAGGCTCCTTGTAATGACTTTTAAACCTGTTGAAACTTGGGCAGTTGGACCCAAGATAGAATCTCCTATTCATATTATTTTCATGCACTGAGAGTAAAACACATTTTAAAATGTGCTGGAGCGTGTCCAGGGAAGGGAACGGAGCTGGGAAGGGGCTGGAGCATCAGGAGCAGCTGAGGGAGCTGGGGGGGCTCAGCCTGGAGGAAAGGAGGCTCAGGGGGGACCTTCTGGCTCTGCAACCCCCTGACAGGAGGGGGGAGCCGGGGGGGTGGGTCAGGACAAGAGGAAACAGCCTCAAGTTGTACCAGGAGAGGTTCAGGTTGGATACTGGGAAAATCCTTTCCCAGAAAGGATTGTCAAACCCTGGCCCAGCTGCCCAGGGGCAGTGCTGGTGTCCCCAGCCCTGGGAGTGTTCAAAAACCTGTGGATGTGGCACTTGGGGACGTGGGTCAGTGATGAACACGGTGGGGTTTGGTCAGAAGTGCTTTGGGATCGAGCTCAGGCTCTTCCCGACCACCCTGAGGCATCTGCATTCTTCATTGGGAACAATCCCACATTTTCCCCCAAGGGGGCTGGCACAAGGCAATCCCGGTGATTAGAAGCACAGGGTCTATTTGCATATGCTAATGAGGAGCTGCAGGGCTCGTGCCAAGGATTTCGGGGCAGGCAAAGCTCAGGCTCGTGTGAGTTGTCACCACTGATTCCACAAATTGGATTGTGTCATGTTTTTGCTCAGCTGCCAAGATTTTTCCCGGGGAAAAGGAAACAGATCCCGTTTAATTTCATGGAAAATTTACTTCTTTTCAGCTGCTTTTTGTAGTGAACGAAACGCTCGTGTGTGAGAAATGTACTTTAAGCAATCCTGGTCATTGCCTGGAACATCTGTAACCTGCTGAGCTCAAATGTCCTTCCAGGTATGGTGGAAAATGCATCAAAACACATTTGATATTGTCCAGAGACATGATTAACCCCAGAAGCAATTTGGCCTTGCAGATGCTTTTCTTCAAGTCAATCACTGAGCCATTAACCTTGAGAAGGTCATCTCCTTGTCCTGAGTGAATTGGGGTAAAGGAACGTTTCAAGTAATATTTAGGAGGAAAATATATTCACAGCTTCTTTTAGTTGGTTCCTAAACTAAACCCCTTGCCTGGATGTAGGCAGGTCACGTCCCAGGATCCTCCTGGAATGGTGGGATATCAGGCCCTGAGCTCTCCACACGTGGCCCAGCTTGACTTTGTTCCTCCCTGTCCTTGGGGCTGGTGCCTGCTCCTCTTCTCTTCCCTACAAAAAACCCCACAGTGGCTTTTCAGCCCTTCCCAAGCTCCAAACATGAAATTTGGGAAGGGCCAATCCTGCAAACTTGAGAAGCTCAAGAGGGGAAGAAACAGCTTTAGTGACTTGTCACTAAAAGCAAATAGCACCGCCTAAAAATATCCAAATAGCACCTCCTGCAAAAATATCCTCTCCCAATTAAGACAGATCCTGAAAGCAGAGATTTTTCATGGCCCCAGAATGAAAACAAATGTTATATAAATAATTTGGGGCTATGAGAAAGTTGTCTGTAAGTGATGTGAAAACACGGCTCACTTTGATGTAGATGCTTTTGTCGCTTCTTTATTTAAGCTAAAATTGATTCTTTCCTTTGCCCTACATGTTTTCAACTTATTTTGAACCCTAAACCAAACCATTTTGTGTTTAAAAAATACAGACCTGTTACAAGAGTTTCAGTGCTTCCCCCTGAAGGAAGTGGTTTTGAACTGAGAGATTTGTCAACTCAGCTCCTCCCAACAGCCTGGGCTCCAATAAATCAGGTCTCCTAAAGGGAAAGAAACCACAACTAATATTTCCCTAAAAAAAGGGGGGAAAAAAATGCTGACCAGTTCTTGAGCTGGGGAACTTGAAAGGGCACACTTTGGGTTGGAGTGAGCATGGATTTCACAAAAAGATTGGGAAAATGGATGGAAACTCTGCAGGGATCTGGATGGAGACTCCCTCGGCCATATTCCACGTGCTTTGGTCTCCCCATCTGTGCAGTGGGGCAGCAACATTTAACAGGGCTGGGTCCAGCCCTGGCCAGGATGAGAAAGAGGATGGAGGAGTTGGGATGAAGGAACTGATGCTGGATGAGCCCTCAGAGGAGGATCAGGGGTGGATTCAGCTGGATGTGGGATGAGCAGCTGGTGATTTGATTTGCTGCAGGAGAATAATTCCTGTGATGGTCCCAAACTGGTGCCTCAGTGGGTGACACAGTTTGTTCAAAATGGGAACCATGAACCAACAGCCCTGGAGAACAGTGTATTCCTGAGAATATCAGCCACAGAGAAGGATATAAAGCTATTGTAAGGCTCCAGAGATGGTGAAGCAGCTGGAGGAGCCATATGAGGAGAGGCTGAGGGCACTGGGCGTGTTCAGACTGAGAGCTCAGCGGAGGGGCAGCTCCAATCTCTGCTTGCTGGGAGCAGGGACAGGACCCAGGGAATGGCCTGGAGTTGTGTCAGGTTGAATCTCAGGAAAAGGTTCTTCCCCCAGAGGGTGGTTGGCACTGACCAGGCTCCCCAGGGCAGTGGGCACAGCCCCAAGGCTGCCAGAGCTCCGGGAGGGTTTGGACAATGCTCTCAGGGACAGGGTGGGATTGTTGAGGTGTCTGTGCAGGGCCAGGAGTTGGATGGATGATCCTTGTGGGTCCCTCCCAACTCAGGACACTCTGTGATTCTGTCCCTGAGTAGAAACACAGAACAGAGGCAGCTGTGATTTCCTCCTGCTCTCAGGAACTTCCGATGGCTCTGATTTTCCCATTTTTACATCCCATTAGCAGCAATCCTGGGCACAGCACTCATCCCGTGTGCAGCTCTGAGCTGGAGTTTACCTGCATTCTCTGCTTTTCCCTGACCTCCATCTCTGCTCATTTGAGCTCCTCAGGGGCATCCTGATACCAGGGATAACCTTCTTCCCCCTCCCTGGGAGCGCTCCTGTGGAACAGGAGGCACCAGCACAGCCTGGAATTCTCATTTGGCTCAACCCTCCCTGGCCTGTTTGGTAAAGTCATTCTGTAAAATGAAACGAGGAGAAATCTGGAAACAAAATCTTCCCTTCTCTTTAGGGAAGGTCAGCTGGGAGTCTGAGCAGATGGAGCCCCGTTCCAGCTCAAAGGGAGTGAACAGATAAGGCCTGATCTGATTGTGCATCTCCCTGCTTGGACCTGACAGGATTTCCTGCAAACTCCCTCCTCAGGCGGCGGCTGAGCGAGGTTGAAGTTCGTCAAAAGAGCAATTTTCCAATTTTCAGTGTTATTTCCCCCCCCCCGAACTCAGCCCCCTCCATTCTGAGGGACATGTTCTCATTTTCTGATTCCTCCTGCAGATATTCCAACCCCCCCCCCCCCCCCCCCCCCCCCCCCCCCCCCCCCCGCCCCCAGCTCCTGTATTTTCTCTCTCTGCTGTTTGCAGAGGACAGAGGGGGACACGTGGCTAAAACCAAATGAAGGAATCACTTTGGAATAACATCTTTTCCCTGTGAGTTATCACCAGCTTTGACAGCTTTGCTGTGACAGGGAGATCTGCTGAGCAAACGTGGTGTTTGATGCGATTCCTCACGGACAGCTGAAGAGCATCTTTCCTTTTTCTTTTTTTTTTTTCCCCTTATATCTGTGAAGCTGCTGCTCTTCACTTGCCAGGTGGGTTGAAGGTTAGGTTGGATACCAGGAAAAGTTCTTCCCCCAGAGGGTGGTTGGGCACTGACCAGGCTCCCCAGGGCATGGCCCCAGGGCTGACAGAGTTCCAGGAGTGTTTGGACAACGCTCAGGGACAGGGTGGGATTGTTGGGGTGTCTGTGCAGGGCCAGCAGTTGGACTGATGATCCCTGTGGGCCCCTTCCAGCTCAGATTCTGTTTTCTGCCTTCATTTTTATCCAGGGGCAGGAGGAATTCTTGCTGTCTGCACTTTTCTGGGATCTAAATACCTCATACACTTCATTCAACCCTCAAATATTGGGGCTTCCCCAGATCAATGCTCTTTATTCCGGGACAGAGTCCATTTTGCCCTGGACTTTGCTGTTGTTTCTCTTGGAGCTGCCTGGCATTGCAGAGCTTTTCTAAGGATAAGATCACGGGCTGTGCACTGGGAAGATTAAGGGACTCGCTGGTGGGGATACTGTGGTTTTGTTAATGGACAAAAAAGGAGATTTTTGGGAGCTCAACTTACACACAAAATGAATGTACATTACTGGGCTCTAATTGCAAAGAGCTTGGCTGGGGCTTTAAAAGCCTTTCGTTCCAAGTCCAGTGTTTGTCAAATGTCTTTAATGCTCCCCATGGTTAGAAAGTGCCCATTATTGTTGTTACTCCTCGCAGTGATTGCCCTGCTCCTGCCCAGCCCAGCACAAACACTCCCCTCAGCGTGTGGGACTGGAAACAGGAATTAAAAGGGACCCAGATAAGAGGAAAATAACTGGTTTTCATAAAGCCTGTGAAGCCTGAAAGGACTTTGAAAAGGCTGCAGACCCAGAACTGCCTGATGTGGGGGCAGGCACCCCCTTTAGCCCCATCCCACAGTGCTGAGCTTGCAGAACTTCCCCCTCATCCTTCTTTTCCTCTAATTCTGGTGCTTTGTTACGTATTTGAGATTGAATTTTCACAGGAGAAACAACCTCTCTTCATTTCACTCTCTGGTTTTCGTGCACCAGGAGTGCAGGGGAGGGTTTGGCTTTCCAGGGAAGATTTGGCTTGTCTTGCCTGGCCAAGGGCAGGCACAGGACTGGATGAACCTGTGGAATTGGGACAGTGAGATCCCCAAATCCAGGGATCAGACAGAAACCTGGATGAAATTCAGCTGTCTCAGCCTGTGAAGGAT